GGGCAGGCTAGAGAAAGATGTTCAAAGGAGATCTACAGCAGGGGCGGGGACCTTCTTCGGGTCGGGGGCCGCTGACCCACAGAATAACCAGTTGGGGCCGCACACGAGTGGGAAGCAAAAAAGCCCCGAACCCCCACTGCCGTGGTCCCCGACTGAGAAGGAAAAAGACGCTCCCCAGGTTCCCCTTGCACACCTGGCTAGTAGATTTTGTGTGCTCCAGCCCTGCGGGAGATGGGGGCACGTCAGAAGGACTGAAGCCCCAGCACAGGCTCTCCAGTGTTAGGGAGAAGCCCTGCACCTCGGGGGCCGGATCCAGGCAAGCCGGGGGCCTTAGGTTCCCCACCCCTGAGCCGGAGGCCCAATTTCCACCACTCTGACTGGCGCATCTACATTTCTTGCCTCCAAAACCTCAACCTCACCAGACACAGGCCCCCGCTTCCTGCCAGCACGGGAGAGGCCAGCGCCAGGCCAGCCGAGGGGCCCGCTTGTCCCGTCCCACAACGAGCAGGGAAGAACCTGTTTCAGCAAGACGGGCTCGAGCGCCGGATCCAGCTCCTCCCCGACGTTCTCCAGCAGGAACGGCTTCCCGAAGCGAATGGAGTTCTCCAAGCTGCGCAGAAAGTCCCGGTCGCTCAGCTTGGCCACTTCCAACCCGCTCTCCTTCTCCTGGAGGACAAGGGAGGGCGTCTGGAGCACGGTGGTGGGCAACGCAGGGAAGCCAGACTGCTAGTGCACGAAAGAAATCCCTGTGCCCCGCAGCGTGCAGACTGTAAAACCCAGGGAGCCCAACAGCTTCAACCCGGTCAGCTGCCTGGTCTGAGCCTCCGTGCTGGTTGGCCATGGGAACTGGGCATGGTTGTATCCCTCGCATCCTCCATCCCTAGCTGTAACGCCACTGGACTCCCCCTGCACTGCTCCTAGGCCCAGAGATCTGGGCCCCACCCAGAGGGGCTAGAAACCAGGTCTCACTTAACTGCCAGGACACACCCAGAGCCCCGATTGGCCTGCAAGGCAGGAGTAGGTGGGACTGCAGAATCCTCCAGGGATCAGAGAGGCCGCAGGTGCAGTAAGGAAAGCTGCTAAACCCCTCTCTCCCCCGGCCCCTCACTGCACTAGAGGGCTGCTGCAGCGGCTGTCTCTGGGAACACATTAGTCAGGTACAGCAGTCTGGATGCGGACCGCAAACGGCCTCCCCCCAGGCCAGCAGACCGCGGCGAGCGCTGCGGTCCTAGCTCACAGGAATACTTAGCTCTGCCCTTGAACTTTCCGTCAGCAACTCTTGTAGCACTTTGCACCGCAGGGCAGTGTCAGAATCTCCGCGTCACAGGTGGGGAAACTGAGGCAGGGAGGGGTTCAAGTGAGGAGCCCAAAGACACCCAACAGGCCAGATCTTCTGGGTCCCAGTCCAGGACCTTAGCGCTGGGCCACTTCTTCTCTCCTCCCTGAGCTCCCCTCCAACGGTTTTATGGTCAGGAACCTGGGCCAGGCTGGAGCACCCTGGGTCTGTACCAGGAGTGCTCGCTGAGGGGCCTGGAGTCTGCTCCCACCATCGTGCAAAGTAGCCTGAGTCTGGGGGCCCCTTAAAGGCAAACCCCAAAGCCCATCTATTCTGCCTGACCCTGGGCTGGATTTCTTCCTGGTCCTTTTCCTATGAAAATCCCACCCAAGGGACTGAGGATCCCCCTATATGCAGCTCCAGACAGAATGCACTGCACAAGGAAGGGAAGGAAGAGAAAAGGCAGGGGAAAGAGAAGGAACCGCAGAGGAACGTCTGGCCTTGCAGCTAACGCTCCCACCGGTACCAGCAAACGTGGCCACGAGCGGAAGAAGCTCTTACCAAGTTCTTGATCCATTTGTTGGCTTGTCCCTGGGGGTCTATGAAGTGAGTCCAGCGCTGTGAAAACTGTGTTATGACGCCGTTCTCCACGGACAGGGTGTCATTGGGCAAGCCGGCAATCTGATGGCAGCCAAAAAAGCACATTAGCTGTCTAACCTCAACGGCGTCTCTTACAACACAGGCATTCTTCCCTGCCACCGCTCAGCGCCGGAGAAACGGCAGAGCCGGCCATCTGCCAGCACACGAGCAAGCCACACAAACACGCTGCAGCTAGCACAGGTCTAGGAAAGCGTCTCCGGCCAGGGAGGACAGAGATTCTTCTCGTGAGAAATGGCCAGCCAAGCATGGTTCAAACACAGCCCTCGCTCCAAAACGCCCTCTCCTCACCATCTGGGAAGCTAGCACCAGCAGCGTTTGCGTAGGCTCTGCCCATGCGTTCGCACAGGGAACCATGCCACGTTGCGCAGCTGGGCTACAGGTGTGCAGAAACCGGCGTCAGACCCTCCCCCAGATTTGAGTTCCTTTACGCCGCTCAAAACAACGCTCCAGTCACCAGAACCAGCCCCTGGAGGCTTCCCACATGACAGGGGATCTAGGGCACACGGACGTAGCGAGGGAGAAGGGGCATGGCCGATACATCTCTGTGTCACTATCCAGCTTCTTGATGCCATGGGACCCTCATGCTGCTCTGATGTATGGCGGGGCGGGGCGGGGCAGGCCTAGCAGATGGCTGGTACCAAGATTAAACGTGGCTTAAAGTCGCGACTGCAACGGCCTTGCTGAGAGCAGCTCAGGGTCTGGGCTCAGGGCTTGGCCTGGCTCCATAATGGAGTGGCCAAACTGTTAGGTGGCCATGCGGTGACACAGGGAAAGCGGCAGCAGAGGGACTTTCCGTGTAGTTCTCAACAGGCAGCTCATGTGCACAGGGCGGCTAGTTCATCAGACAAGACGGGGCCCGATCCTTCCTGGCATTATACGGGGGGAGAACCTCTTCCAACTACCAATACGACCGTGGCACTGTTATCACTGCCCACATCACTGGCCTTTGGCTGCTCCCGGTGGATCGATTCCTGGCAAGCCCCTGTGCTTTTGGTAGCTGTATAGACTGTTCCTCTCTCTTGCCCAGCCCAGCCAGGGAACTGGCCACTCGGGCTCTCCAAACTTCTCCAAACTCCTTTGAGTTGAGGGGTTCATTGTCCGGGATAGCTGATAGTCACACCACGCACCCTTGCCCGCCACGTACCTGCCATGATCGGATTTTCACGGGGTCTCCCAGCGTGCTTATCAAGCTGGGCTCCTTGGTGTGCGGGACGCCGTATTCCTCCAGTTTCTTTAGCCATTCCTCGCACAGTGCAATGCGGTATTGGCCCTGCCAGGGGAAGCAAAGCTCCATTAGCTCAAGTGGCTCACGCATCGGCTCTTCAAATCAACCCTCCTCCAGCTGTTTGTGTTCAAATCCAGCTCCCTGGCTCACCCGAACCGCGTCACACCGCAAAGGGAGACGCCCCCCGGGGGAAACTGAGGCTGCACACATGTTCCACAGCTGAGCCCCTACAGTGTTTAGACAGACTGGTGATGTCCCTGGAAAGGCGTCAGAAATCTCCCCTCTGGGAAGTCAGATTCCTGTCTGAACGGGGTAACTGCGAGGATCCAGGCAGCGTGCTCGGAGCTGTATCACTAGCACAACCCCTTCAACAGCAGTGCAACAGCCCGGACGTCACTGAGCACTGACTTGGTCAGGCGGGACGATGCTCTACCGGCAGAGGAGAGACGGGACGCCGGGCCTTGAAGCAGGAGAGGTGGAAGAGGTATCCAGAAAGGGCTCCACTTCTCTACTTACCGTGAAAGGGCCCAGGTACGCCACGAAGCCTGCTGCCAAGAGAACGTCCCCGGCAATGTTGTTGATCATGTACTCCAGGTTCTGGACTGTGTCCTGCCAGCGCACCTTCTCATCTGCCAGGCCGTTAATTAACTGTGGAACAGCCCCACACAGCTGCTCAGCCGGCAGCTTCCTCACAGCTCAGCCCCACGCCTATGGCCACGTCCCCATGGGGGGCATCACAGCTGCCCAGTGGCCAGATCTGCACCCCGGCTGCAACCGCACCCCAGGGGCTGTGCCGCCAGGGCTCACTGGTGCTCTGGTCACTCCCCGGCCTACCTCACCCACCCCCCACGAAGGCTGGGGCGGGAGGTGGCGGGAGACTCACAGCTCTCTCACCCAGGGGTTCTCCCGCACCACAGCTGGGCGTTTAAATGGGCCCCGGGGGGTGGTCACAGCTGGGCCAGGCAGTTCTGTTCCATTGGCAGCAGCAGGGAGAGAGGAGACGTCACTGTCAGCCCCGCGGCCCCCACGCAGCCCGTCTCGTTGCAGGGCTGGACCCGGCTGAGGTAGGGACTTGGCTGTTCTCTGCCCCTCACCTTGTCCGCCCGGCCCAGCCTCTGCTCACACAGCTCACACTTCATCTCCAGCTCCTCCTTCTTGGCGATGCAGCTCCTGTACTTGGCCTGCAGGGTGGCGATGCCGTCCTCCACTTCTCGCAGGCGGTCCTTGGCCTCGTCCAGGATCTTCTGAGTGGCCTGCAGGTCCTCCTCAGCCTCCCGCAAGGCTTGCTGGAGAGGAGAGGCCGCTTTGGAGCACCCCGGCGCGCGAGCAGGCGTCCACCCGCCAAGGGGAGGGCAGAGGGCTGGCTCCATTCACCGCCGACGGCCTAGGCTATTCGGCATGCAGATTCCCTCCCCCAAGCGACTGCGCGCCGTGGCTCATCCAGCCCCTCGGGTCGCTCCTCCCTGCTTGGCCCAGGCACTCGGGCGTCGGAGAAGCAAGTGAAAGATGCGGGGGTTTCACTGCCGTCACCGTACCGGGTGCAGGAGCGGTGCTGGGATACCCTGCTTTCTGACCCTTGTTCCCATTCTCTCCGCAGCCCGGAGCACCACAGAACCACAGGCCTAACCTCCAGGGGACCCAGCGCCATGTGGCAGGGTGGCACAGCTCCTGCCACTCAGGGAGGGGGAGTACGGCCCCCAGCACCCTCACGCCAGGCTCCCGCTGCCCGGGAGCAGCAGTGGGGCTGCAGCCACAGCACACGCGCGACCCTTGGCGCCCGTGTGTCACGCGCCCTTGGCTCTTACCCGCTTGGGCTCCACGGCCTTGGCCACGAAGTGGTACTTGTGCATGGCCCGCGCCCACTGGCAGATGGAGGTGCAGGCTTTGGACACTTTGGCGATGGCGGCCGGTTGGAACTCCTCGTTGTCTATATACGGCTGGATGGCTTTAATCACTGAATCGGCGATGTTGTCCTGGAAGGCATGGGGGCGAGGTGAGGAGTGGCGAACCCTTCTCACGCCCGCTAGCCCAAGACCAGGGAGGCGGGCAGAGAACCCCACAAAAGCTCCGCGTGGGGGCCTGGCTTTCCCAGGCACGACAGCCGCGGGGCTCTGGGCTGGACGGAGCTGCGGGCACTCCGAAGAGCTTTGCCGGCCACGCTGGTGCAGCACAGAGGTATGATGGCTGCGTGGCCATCTCCTGGTGTACGTTCAGGAGACCTGCAGCTGCGTGTGCTCCTGCGCAAGGCAAGCAGAGAACGGGAGGGGGAAATGCTCCTCTCTGACCAGTTCTCACTGCTCAAAGCGATCAAACCACCGAGAACCACGGAGGGTCCAGCAAAAGGGAATCCCCGCCAGCCACATGCCCTAGAATCCCCTCCACGCTCCTTACAATGTACTGCCCGGAGCGCCTCCTGGCTTGGAAGCTGGCTCCAGGGATCCGTTTCTGGCATGGTATCATCATCCATAATGTGGACGTGTTACCCTGAGGCTGATCACACCTCTCGCGTTGGGGCACGACAGGGGGCCAGATCTCTGAGTTCCAAACCTATGCACGGCCCCCCTCTGCCGTTATTTACCTTATCGTACTTAAACAGGCTCTCCAGGAACTTCCCTGGGTCCTGAAGAAGGCCCTTGCCCGGCTCCCAGTAGTCGTCCACCTTAGAGCCTGGCTTTTCTCCAGGCACTTTCTTGGGCTTGATTCCTTTCATGATGCAGACAGCTTCAATCACCATCTTCACCCCGAGGGGCGGCCGCTGCATCGCTCGCACCTAGGAAAACCAAGTGTGCCTGAAAAGCAGAGCCCGTCACCCGGCTTTCTGCACTGCCCGTTGGCAACTCTTGCATGGCAAAACCCGATGGCGCTGATGCCACATAAGGGCTGAGCAATCAAGCACTAGGAGCTAGGGTTGCCGGATGGTTTCAGAAAAAATACCAACAGCAAACAACAACAAAAACGTGTCAGGAAAAGGTTTGTTAAGCAAAAAACAAAAAACAAACAAAAAAAAACAAATCATGGGTGTCAGGAAAAGGTTTGTTAAGCAAAAAACAATAAACAAAAAAAACCAAAAAAAATCATGGCCCCTTTAAAAACCGTGTGGTAACGCTTTTTGGCCCTAACAGTCTGCCAGCGGCTGCCATCTTACCTCCCTGTGCCAGGCCGGACAGCTCCCCTGCGGAACCTGGTAAGCAATAGGGTTGCCAGGCTGCCTCCATATTAAGCGGGGGAAAAATCAGAAAGTACCAGACATTTTAAGTGTCCGGTGTTTTCTGAATTTTTTTACCGGACAGGAGGTGAAAAATACCGAACTGTCTGGTTCAATACCGGACACCTGGCAACCCTACGAGGAGCCTTTCTCTCAGCTTATGTGTTTGCAGTGGGCGACTGGGGCAGTCCCTTCACGGCACCAGTGGCGAGGGGAAATTCCCTCCCTTAGCTATGAAACATCAGTCTGTCCAGCCCAGCTATTGATCCAGGGAGGGGACAGGATCCTGCATTAGTGTCAAAAGCTGCCCAAAGCGGAATTCTTACCACGACCTTCCATACGGTGCATGGAAAGGGGTGAAGTGATATGCCCAAGGCCATGGAGTCAGTCAGTGGCAGAGCTAGGAACTCTATTCAGGGGAACACGAAGTCTGCTGCTCAGATTCCCAGACACACATCCCTTTCCCCCCATGATGGTGACCTCTACAACATCCCTTTACATCTGGATTTGCTGATCTCAACAGTGTAAGACTTGTGGCCTGTCTCTGTGGGGCAGGATTCATTGATGTTGCCAGCCTCCCAGGCCACACAGTCTGTCTTACCGGGCTTAGGTTTCCTGCTCTCTCTTTGCCAGTGTTAACCATGAGCAAAATTCTTGCTGAACGCAGGGATTGGTGAGGCAGCTCCCCTGAGCCAGCAGGTGTGGCTTCTAGGCCGGGAGAGGAGCTACAGGTGAAATCAGGATGCTTGACGAGGGAAGAGTCACTTAAGGGAGCCCTCTGAGCGGGAAGGGCAGTGCTGATGTTACTGGGAGCCTGGCGTGGTGCCTTTGGGCCGAATTGCTCTAGTCTCCAGAAGGCTGTAGCCACAGGACCTGCCTTCATTAGAAGAGCTGGTGGGTTGAAAGGGGTTCAGCCAACAGGCTGGAGACGGTGGGCTCACATCTCTGAAGAGCTGCGGCTTTTCCTCTTGCTCTCTGGCTGCCCTGGGGGGAGGGGGGGTTGCCGGCAGCTGAGCCTTGGGCCCGGAGCTGGAGAGGCTGGTGGGCCCCTCCCGGGAGCTGGCGCCGGCGCGTGCGGTGCGGGGTAGATCCGCAAAGCTCCCCTTTCTCTATTTCCTCCAGCAGCAACTGCTCTCGCCATGTTCACCCGGAGACGCTCAAGGGGCTTCTTGCTGGATGTGGTCAACAGAGGGGCGGAGTTTGTGGAGACCCTGAAGACTTGCTACCCCAAGGCCGAGGCCCTTCACGAGAAGGACTTCGACTGGCTCTTTGACTGCCCCGAGATGGAGCGGTTCCTGGCCTGGTTCTGTACGGCCGTGGGGGAGGAGAACGTCCTGGCCCCGGGGGAAGTGGAGGCCTACGAGGCCCTGCTCGGCTCCGGGAAGCCCGTCCTGGAAGGTGAGGCCCTCGAGCAGGCGCTGCAGACCTGCCGCCCGTGCCC